TTTGGAGTTGTCTCTCCTAGAAGAGTGGCTGTCCCCAGCTAACGAGTCTCATCTGCCCGAGGGTAGCTGTTTATCGATATAGGCGTTGCCGGAAGCGATGCATCGTGGGTTTAAGCAGAAACGAAACCAAACCTACTAACTAATCAAAATACGCTTTTTTTCAAATTTCGGTATGCTAATAGAGGTACCATGCTTATTAGGTTATATTTAAATGTGTAACCTCTGGCTGGGCGACAGTCTAAGCTTTCGATCGCTGTTAAACCTGGCGCAGTAATGTAGTATTGTACCTCTGGTATCAGCTGTTTCTTAGATATTCAAAGGATACCACCCACTCTAGTTTAATATTATGTTCAATGTCTATACTCTGTCTGATGTCATTCTACGTTGTAACACTAGGGCGGGGGGGGGGGGGGGGGTAATTACATGTCTTTGTGTTCTGACACCATTGTTTTTCCAATGTTATGTACGGTGAAAATGTGTGAATAATGTATGTTTAGTTAACATGTAAAGATATCTTCTAAGATTAGTTCGTCCAAATGACGATCTTTTTTCACTTAAATCATAAGGTTGCGTGTTTTTTTAAGATGCCGCCCAGGTCGGTTCCCGCAATGTAAACTTTTTAAAGAGGTTACTTACAGGTTTCTCCTCTTTTTTTTTTTTTTTTTTTTACATTGACACGTTTTCCTTACAGTTTAAAAAAACATAATTTTTTTTACTTGTATATAGACTATTGCAATCATGGGAATTTTGAAAATTTAAAAAAAAATATATATATAATTAATAATATTTGCGCATGGAACTCCAGAGCCGCATCTTGGCTTCAAAAGAGCCGCAGGCGGCACACAAGCCGCAGGTTGCCCTGTCTTACTCTTTAAAGAACTTTATTTTTATATACTTGTATATAAACGATCAAAACAGGTTGCACACATTTATTAAACTAAAATTTTGTTATTGAACAAACTAAATATTTAAACATCGAAGGTTTAACATTTTTAATAGAATAATTAATCTTTTAAAAACCTTCTATTACACGTCAAATCTTACAAAGTAATACAGTTTGCAGAAAAAAATGTTAAATAATGTATGACAAAACTGATTTTATTTTCCTTCAATTACTCTTAGATTAATGTTTAGACGGTTATAATAAACAGTTCACATGGGTTAAATACCTTTTTGCGATTAAATGTTTACAAGGGAAGCCACCGTTAAATATATAGATTGACTAATTGTGAACATTGTTTGGGTACATTTTCAAACGAAATAAGAAAACCAAGTCTTTGGAATAATAATAATTTGGGGTACATTATCTCCAAAAACGTAAGAACCACTTTAGCGCTACGTCTATTGCTATAAATTTGTTCTAAGTTTTATAAACATCTAATCTAACATCAGACAATTAATGAGGGTGATAATACACATTTTCTTTGCTTAAAACAACAAATATTGTTACTTTTATTGTTACATTTTTGCATTATAAAAAAGCAATGTTAGATAATGAATTTTAGACGTTATTTCGCGTTTTCGATAACTGTTTTAATACATTGTAATAGTTTAGACAAGATTTTGGAAAAATATCGATGTTTAAAAAAAATTCAACTGCAATTTTGAGGGGGGTTGTAGGTTGAGGTGTGACGTCATTTTAGGGGAGGGGGTCTGACTTTTTGTGACGACGTGTGACGGAGGGGAGGGGGGGAGGTAAAAATCGTCAAAAAAAGCGTGACGTCATTTATGGATGACCGCTTAATTGCTTTCTAGTTTTAACACATAGTCTACACAGTTACAAGTTATATACCTTGTTACAATTTTCTTTTGAAATGAGAAGTAACCAGACATATGTAATATGTATCGAACCAAAAAAAAAAATCGTCATCAAAACAATACACATATTCCTCGGGATATCTTGGATTCATGAATCCAGCAATCAGTTGTAACGTTTTAATAAAACATGTTGACGCTGTATTGGTGTGTATCGTCATTGTTTATATAGTCTAAACAAGGTTTAAGTAGAGCTGTGTTATAGATTATAGAGTATCGAAGATAGATAGATAGATAGATATATACACAGACAGCGAAACTATTATAAAAAATTTCTGGAGAGGCAATTCTAAACTCAGTATACCAGATAAATTTAAAGGAGATAATGCTTTTGTAATTTTCACGCAAACATTAGCGGATTTAACTGTGTTTTTTCAACTACCATTGAGTTGTTTTAACAAAAGTACAATCTCATTCCTAAACAATAGGTTCACATTTTTAGTTAGATGAAATAAATCCTATATGTTATGGCGTATGCATTCATAATTCGTTGTCAAAGAATGTATACGTCATAAAAGAGTCCCCAAATATCCAAATATTACAGAAATTTTTTGTTACAGATGCTAAATCTGCACTACATTTACTAAAAACCCAGAATCCAATCCTCAATCTTTCATGACAGCCCAGGTAAGGCTAAACAATACCTATAATAAGATTGTTGTGTAGTGGATCCTTGGGCTAAACAATACATGTAATATGATTTTTGTGTAGTGGATCCTTGGGCTAAACAATACATGTAATATGATTTTTGTGTAGTGGATCCTTGGGCTAAACAATACATGTAATATGATTTTTGTGTAGTGGATCCTTGGGCTAAACAATACATGTAATATGATTGTTGTGTAGTGGATCCTTGGACTAAACAATACATGTAATATGATTTTTGTGTAGTGGATCCTTGGGCTGAACAATACATGTAATATGATTGTTGTGTAGTGGATCCTTGGGCTAAACAATACATGTAATATGATTTTTGTGTAGTGGATCCTCGGGCTAAACCATACCTGTAAATACCTTGGCAATGAGGGCACGCTACCTTGAAATGTCCGCCAGTCCGGTTGAGTGGGGGGGGGGGGGATTATATGAGTTAAGAACGATTAATAGAATGATGAAAGGCTAGGGGAACGTAGTTTAAACCGAAGTTTTACAACTCAACAAAATACACTATACAATATTATAAATATAAATATTTTTACATAACGTAATGAATGATTGTAATAACTTTTAATACATGTTAAAATATGCACAAATGTTAATGTTTAATAAATATTATTAAATGAAATTGGAATGTAATATAAAATTTTAATTAAACTACTATCAAATTTATGTTTAAAAGCATTAAAAAAGAAAAGTATGCATTAATTACCTTACTAGTTGTAAATATATAAGTGGGACGTAACTAATAAATGTCTAATTTAATAACTGCGTAAATTGTTTCGTAAAACCTTTAAAAGAAGCTAAAAAGTCTATAGGGTGGTATAGGTGACATAAAATAAACATCCAAACCATGCTGATTACAGGGATACCAATCAGAGCATGTGATTGTGTATTGCTGCAGTGGCGTATCTACCGTAAAGCTAGCGTAAGCAAAGCATAGTGGGTCCACGGCACATAAAGCCCTTTTTCTTGATTAAAAACATTAAAACTTGAATTTTAATATTTGCTTTATATAAATAATTTTTAAAAATAAAAATAAAATCTAGTTTCTTTTCTAATGTAGAAATAATGTAAAGTTACAAAAAGGTCCACAGTCCTTTCTTAGTGTACTGACAGTGGGGTTCTGTGAGGGGTAGGGTGAACAAGGCCCATTCGTAAAATAACACTACGACACTGCCGCATTGTCGTGCCAGCCTTTGAGAGAATTAGCCTAGACATAAACCTGAACTTTGACTCAGTGAAATTGGCATCCTGCACTCGTAAGGGAATATGCGCGGCAAAAAAAAATCACAACATTTTGTGTTTTTCGACATGATAGGTTTCTTGCACTTTTGGATACTTTGTCCATGTTTGTATTAAGATAATAATAACTTTAAAGAGAAAACACATTTTTAGGTTTTTAAATTACCATTTTTATGACCCTATCAATAAAAAAAAACAATTTTTCCCAATCTTACACGCTCTCTATGAAAAGTTTTATATCCGTCATCATATTGTATTTAGCATTATTGGAAAGCTGAATTTCTCCTTTATTTGATAATTTTAATTTCCATCATCTCGGAAACACCCAAAGCTTACAATCGGCTTTTCAGTTTACACAGATATAACATTTTCGTGACCTATTTTTCGTTACTTTTGGCTGTTTTTGTCAGTGCGAAGGTTTTTAACACTATAAATTCTACTACTTATTTATTTATTAAACAATCGCCACCGTATTTTCAGTAATTGCTCTACGTGTATAAATACAACTTTTGTCACGAGTGAATTGTGATGGCTTTCATAGAAAAAAAAGTATTTGGTAATTAACAGGAAAATTTTGAAACTTTTGAACACTAAAAATGGAACGATTATTTTGAAATGTATGACACCTATACAACCCTATCGGTTTTTTTAGCTTCTTTTAAAGGTTTTACGAAACAATTTACGCAGTTATTAAATTTGACATTTATTAGTTACGTCCCATTTAAATATTTAGAACAAGTAAGGTAATTAATGCATACTTTTCTTCCTAAATGCTTTTAAACAGAAGTGTGATAGTAGTTGAATTAAAATATGATATTACATTCCAATATGTTTTAATAATATGTATCAAACATTAATGTATGTGCATATTTTAACATGCGCTATAGGTAATACCAATTCATTACATGATGTAAAAATATTAAACTTTAAACTATTGTATATTGTATTTTGTTGAGGTGCAAAACTTCAGTATAAACTATGTTTACGAACCAGCAGATATTCCTTTAATCGTTGTTAACTCAAATAAATCATAAAGATGCTCATCGTTGAGTCGAGATCTATATCTTGATTTTATTAAGGTCATGTTTGAAAACAATGATTCGCATAAATATGTCGAACCGAAAAATGATTCAAATGGCACTAGCCGTTCCAGGCTAGCGTAAATAGTGCAGTCTGGCTCGCCGCTAGGTCTCATTGACCTAGATTTTACTTCCGGCTAACTCGACGAAATCCGAGACAAGACTTTAAAGGAAAATGTCAACGAAAGCCGAAACGGGAGATTAATAAAGGCTGCTATCACAAGCTTGAAAGAGCGAGGTGGTTCTTCACGACAGGCCATCCTTAAATACATAATGGCAAACTACAACGTTGGAAAAGATGAGAAAACCATCAACAGCCACCTGAAGATGGCTCTCCGTGCTGGAGCCAAGAATGGAAACTTGAAGCAGTCCAAAGGAGTTGGTGCATCTGGCTCATTCAAGATTGGTGCCAAGGAAGAAGCAAAGCCAAAGGCTAAATCACCTAAAAAGGCTGAGAAACCAAGGGCTGTCAAGCCTAAATCTCCAGCCAAAGCCAAAAAGCCCAAGGCAAAGAAAGCTGCAGCTCCTGCTGCCGCACCTGCAGCCAAAAAGCCAGCTGCATCCAAGAAGCCAAAATCTCCCAAGAAGGCTGCCGCTAAGAAGCCCAAGGCACCTAAACAAGCAGCTGCGGCTAAACCTAAAAAGCCCAAAACACCCAAAAAGAAAGCCTCTCCAAAGAAAGCAGCGCCTGCAAAGAAAGCTGCACCCAAAAAGGAAAAGTAAAAGTGTGATATAAAAATTGACTGAGAAAGGACTCGATAAATTATTTCATCCAGATTTCTATGACAACTAACGGACATGTACACAGATGTGGCAGCACTCTGGATTGTGGATTTCTGACAGACATCTTTCATTTGTAATATATTTCATTTTCATACCCTTCGCATATCATCATGCCATTATGTTCAAGCAATTGTTATATTTGCCCTACATATGCACCATTGCCTGCTTTCTCATCCTCATTATTTTAACATGATGTCCTATTCGGGTTATGTTGCAATCTGCAAGGTTGTGGTATGAATCCATGACCAATAAAGTAACATGTGATAAAAAAAAAAAAAAAAAAAAAAAAAAAAAAAAACTCAAATAATTGAAAGGGAAGATTGTTTGATTTATGTGTCTCGTTGTAATAAGAAAAGTTTCCAATTGCTTAAAATTTTGTATCATTATAATTCTCCGTAGTCACAAATTTATTTCAGCTCTACTTAAAAACCTAAATTTCATCCCGCCCCCCCCCCCCCCCCCCCTTCACCCACCACGCCGAGGGAACAAAATCTATAGAATCATCATTTAATTACACATTTGCATTTTCAGGTTGGTTTTTTTTTAATTTTTTTTTTTTTTAATTTTTTTTTTTTTTAATATTTAGACATTTTGTATTAGATCTTTGTAGAAGTAAACCATCTTAAATGAATAAAAGTAGGCTACAAGTAAGAAAGAAATATTTCTATTGTCAATCTGTATTAGTCCTCACAAGCCGGTGATGAAAACTGTAATACTAAAGCGAAGACACACAACTGACGCTGTAAATTACATGGCTGAGGCAAAAAAAAAAGAGAGAAAAAAAAAGTTAACTCATACATCTCCCAACTCCCAAACCTCTTAGAAGCGCCAACCTACAGCAAAATAATAGACGCTCAACATTACAACACACCACATAAGTAGAGATGGAGGCAACATAAGCCCCTAGCACACACAATACTATAATAAAATACAGGTATTGTACTGCTACAAGAAACAAACTTCTCAGACATACAACAAGCACAACACATTAATAATGCAGCACAATGCCTAGGACAAAAATGCAGAATAACAAATATACTTAACATTTCCATTACGTAAATGATCTGGAAAATGACACCGAATGAAGACTAACCAGCTCAACAATAACAGACAGCACTAATTAGCATCTAAGCTCCAACCGGTAAACGAGATAAAGAAAACAATGTATATAAACCTGTTCAAAAAATAAATACTTTCTTGGCGACATTGCACAGTTTTCCTATTCAGCATTACAAGGCTATTCGTGTTGACCTCGTGTGTAATTGTAATAAATCTTTAACTTGAGACCCCTTAAGAAGTTAAACAAGAAAAAAAAACAACCATAAAACTCGCTGCATTGAAAAGAAATCAACTGAATCATATAAATCAAACAATGTTTAATGGTCTGACAGGCATATTACACAAAATACTAAGGATTTAATAAATTAACACATAAAGAACAACACAGTATCTTTACACACAGTAAAGGCCACAACACATTGAAATAACAAGTAAAAAGCTAAACGTTGGTCCTTGCAAAACGTGTCGTCTTGTCATGGCCCCTGAGAGTGCAGAGAAGTAGGCGTATGTGTCATATGTGCTAAAAATATGTAAGGATTAATTAGAGTGGCACATTTCAAAAGAGAAAAACAAAACTGTTCTACTGATATAGATTAGTTTACATATTGTTTCTAATATTTGGAGATTAGGATAAACTTACATTACAATTCAAAACTCTCTGACCTTGAAGTAAATAGTCGCGCAAAACATAATATGCATTAAGTCTTCTTATTGTAATTTTCTTTAGAACGCCTTGTAATTTTTTCAAATGTGCGAGAATACTAACAACATATATGTAAACTTGCCATCTACTTTTTGTGCTGTAGCCAGCTATAAAGAGTTGAGCGTTGATATATATATAATTTTTCATGACAATGATTTATGAATTATTTGTGAAAAATATATGTTACTACGCAAATAGTGGCTATTTGTTTGAGTATGTAAAGTTAGAAAATTATCTTTGCATACTATAATAGTCTAGTATTTATACATTTTATTTACGTAATATAAAAATACATAGGTAGATTGAATGCTTTTTTTTCCCACGTTTTCTTTAACTTGCTTTCTCTGTTTTTCCAATCAAATCTTGCGATCGAAATTTCTGGCACTTCCCAGTTAGCTAGCGCGCTGAAATTTTCAGGGAAGCTTTCTTTTGGATGACCATAGAATATTCAATTGTTATTATTACTAAACTGATCAATGGAAACATAATCTATATATATAATTCTCCTCTGCGAGCCATTAGAAAAAAAAACGAGCGACGCGTAGCTCGCCTCTCTCTTGCCGCGCGCAGTGACGCGAACGATCCCACGTCGCGACAGGCTTAGGGACAGATAATTTAGTTTGAACCGACTTTAAACTTACAGGAGGTAACTATTACCACTGGTGGCCAGTTTGGGGGAGACGATATGGTCGAGTGGTTGGGCACACGATTGCTATCCCACTCGACACGGGTTCAAATCTATGTGTTCTAGTCAGTAACCAGCCCTCGTCCTAACCACTATCAACTAACCTCTGACAATCATTCACTTGCGATTGAGACCGAAGAAGAAAGAGTCTCTCGTTTTTTACGAGTTGTCTTTTTACGAGTTGTCTTCTTTTACCCAAAAAAAAGTGAAAAGATAACATCGATAGCAAGATTTTAATGCAAACAAACAGACAAAGACTAAAAAGTAGAAAATAATAATCATTAAAAAAGTTTTTAAAAACCCACGTTTTCTGATTGAACTAAAAAGTAGAAAAAAATTGCTATACATCACAATAATGCAAGCGATCACTCTACTATAAGCGTTAAAAAACGTGGGGCGCCGTGATTTTCTTACAGTTTCTAATAATGTTGACTCTCTACAAGCTCCCTAATAAAAGTCAATAGTATTATCTAATCAATAGTAATATAACTTTTACTTCGGCGCCCCACGTTTTTCATCGCTTATAGTAGAGTGATCGCTTGCATTATTGTGATGTATAGCAATTATTACTTTCCTGATTATTTTAAATACCTGCAAAGGGAAGTCATCAAATCAAATAGCAGTGAAAAGCAAGACGCCGGATTTACATCCCTTAATTTATGTTTCCCCAATTATTTCTTCAACCGTAGAGCGGAACTCTCTAGTAGAACTTGCTTACGGTTTCATATAAACACCATACCCATGAGCTATAAGCCCACACTACACCTTAAATGTAGAATATTTAGCATATTAATCTTAGTTACAATACTATCAAAGATCCACAACAAAAGCTCACGTTTACTCCCCCTCCCCATCCCCCACTTTAAACAGATAAAGATAAATATCCAATGTTATAGTCGTTATAGTCTTCAAATTGATCTTTTATTAATTCACTAGGGTTATGTTGTTATTTTATAAGTGCATGTCTCGCATGTTACTGCAAGGTTTTTTTAAGCGTCCCTGGGTAGGCGTGGTCATGTAGCATACGATGTTGACACTTGCTACTACAACTCATATGCCTTTATCGTCACCACAACACACACACACATCAAGACATACACACCACAACACACACAACCATCAAGACACACACACCTTCACATTGAATTTCACCAACTACGTCAAGACGCGAATTGTCGGAAACCTGAGAATGGTACACCTACAGTCATCAACCAAACACTTTAACGAAAACACTCTTACATGCATCTAAAAAAAAACAAAGGTCCGTTGTATTATTGACGCCAACAACCATATGATCATCACCATCTACCATTACATTGAAGTGAGTTACAACGACAAATCTATCGATATACTCCAGCCCTAATTATCTAACCACACCACATAGGCTAACTGCTAACAAATCTAACGCTTTAAAATTCGATATTTTGGATTAAATGATGTGTTCTTAATGATTTTATTAAACAAAATTTGCTTTGTAATTGTGCAGTTATATGTGAACACAATAAAAACAAAATTACCTTGCGCTAGGGTGTGTTACATACCAGTTTACAGTATGTATCAATGGCTGCTATGTTGTCCTATATGGCTGGTAGGTAGGTCACCGACCAGTTATTTGACTAATGCAGGTTTTATTTAGACGTAGAACTGGTTGGTGACCTACTTACTAGCCCTATAGAATACCCTAGGTAATTCTGATCGGTAGAATATCAACTATTAAATAGTACCATTGTCACCATCACAACAATCCCTACTTCATTACCATCACGCACCTCCATCACTAATACCATCGCAATTTACCATTCTTCATTTCACTATTTAAAGAGCAGTAGTTCTTAAAACCCATATTATCCCAAGGTCTCAAATTTTTATAATTTTTTGATATGGTTTAGCTTTTGGGCACTGAATGAAGGAATGACTATGGATTTTTTTTAAAAATCAATACTTTTTTAAATATCGATTTTTTAAAAAACGTCCCATAAATGGGACGCTAGCAACGAACGGCCCAATGTACATTTATTGAAAAATAAAATCATTTTTCACGAAATATGGCTAATCACGCGAAAATTAAGCTGTGTACTGATTTTGTATTGTTAGACCAATGATTTAATTGTTTAGGACAGCTAAAAATACTGATAATGATCAATTGGGTTAGCCATACCATGGTCTAAAATGCAGAAATTATGTTCAAAAGTCTAGTTTTCTTTCAATCTAGCATCCATCAAAGTGAACAACACTTGGAAATAAGTAAAGCTGTGACTAGTACATCTAATTATACACACATGATCACAAATATTGTTATTATTCATCGAAACTGTAATATAATTAAATATAAATAATTGATTTTTTTTTTGGGGGCGTACTTGAAATTTTCAGGGGTGGGGACTTAAATTTCAGGGGAAGGGTGGACATTGGTAAAAGTATGTTTTGTATATAAATTCCATTTTGTTCTGGGGGCAGAGCCCCCCCCCCCTCCTCCAAAATGATGCCTGAAAGAAACTCTGCCCTTAGTGAATTTGCAAAAGATGTTCCGGTCCAGTCCCAGATGTTATCCAGCCATCTTCTCTTTTGTTACCCTCGCTATCCCCCCCCCCCCCCCACAGGCGTACATTAGGACATCAGACATCTTATTTCTAGGGCACGGATCCGTCTCTGGGGGCTTGTATTGAGCGTTCATGACTCTCATCCATGTATGCACCTCACTATGCGAACAGCTCCCAATCTAACACCAGGAATCTCCTTAAAAAGTTAACAAAGTAAAGCTGGTATCGGTAACCTTTGGAGGGGGATATTATTGGGGCATGACAACTGTACACAGCTAATTCACATTTCTGCTATATGTAGCTTAAGCCC